ATAAAAAATATTTTTAAAAAAAAATGAATAAATACTTAAACACGGATTGTAGTGATACGTGTTTAAGTAACACGGATTCTAACAATACGTGTTCACCTAAACACGTATTTTCATAATCCGTGTTCTGTTTAATTAATTAGCTTAATTACGAGATTAAGTTAACACGGACTTTGGTAATCCGTGTTCCTTTCGTAATTAAGGGAACACGGATTTTGGTGATCCGTGTTCGTTGTAAAATTACAGTTACACGGATTCGCAAAATCCGTGTTTCTTTTAAACACGGATTGTGAGAATCCGTCCGTTTGATTTTTTTCCACAATTTTTTTTTTGTTTTATTTTATTCCACTCATTTTTTTTTTTTTTAAATAAATAAATGATTCTGCTAAATCATGTATGGTGTTGAAGTAATAAAAACGAGTGATATTTAAAAATACATGAATAAATGAAAAATGAATTTATAATAACTTATGTAGTAATAATGATTATTAGTATTTAAATATATATTTTAAAAAATGATATAAATAGTTAATATATATATATATATATATTGTTTACAAATATATTGGTATTTGATTTTTTTTTAACCATGATTAATTTTGAAAAAAAAATGGTATTATTAGTTATTGTTAGATTTTAAATTCGTATTAAAATAATATTTAAAATAAAATAATTAAAATTGATGTGATGTAAGATAAATTATTGAAAGTGATATGTAATCAAAATTATGTGAGTGAATGAATAGTGAATTAAAATTAACGCAATAATATTGAAGATAGTTGTATTGAGTTAAAATTAAGATATATTATGAGGTAAGATTGATTTTTTTTTATTTTTTTTTACGAAACGATAGAGAATATTAAAAATCAAAAGCGCACAAATGCGCAAAATACACAACCCCTAGCTGAATAGTACAACCAACAATTGAAAATTGAGAGGACAGGTCATGAGACCGCCTAGAGGCCGGCTAGCAACGCTAGAAAACAAACTCAAAACAACGCAACACAAAAATTGAACTAAGACAACCCCCAACGGAGTAAGGTGGAACGACCCCCAACGGAGTAATGTGGAATGACCCCAACGAGATAATGCCCTCACACTCGGGCTTACAGGGCCCAACGGTCCAAACAAAAAACACAGACCTAAACAACATAAACAAACAAAAAGAACATAAAACTAAATAACAAAATATTCAAAATCAAGCCCTTCCCCAGCTAACAAACGAGCCCGGCCAGCAGAAAACAATCGATCCAAGGAAGATCCCTAGCCCAGACACAACTACCGAAACTGCGAAAACGCCTATACATAAGCCGAACCCGAGCTACGAACCTAGCCTCAAAATGATCCGCCCCTAACCGAGAGAACGACGACACCAACTCCCGCATCTTCACGGCCCGAATTCATCTAACACCACTAGTCAAATTCGGGTGCTTCGGACCCCACCCGAACCCGACACCAGAGAACTGGGGGAGAGAGAGAGTGATTGGTCGGAAAAAGTGTGTAATTTATATATCTATTAGCGTATTTTTATATGCTTAATTTTGTCGCACTTATGTATCTTTCGACTTATTTATTTATTTGGATGGATTTAAGTACTATGATATTTTTATGATTTAATTTCAGTATATTGGCGTATTTTTGTGGATGGCGAATCAAAGTCGATAAACTATTGGGCCATAATTGCTGAATTTATGTGGAGGATCACTGATTTTGGAGAGTTGCAAGGTGCTGGGTAAACTTTTGGACTAAACATTAATTAGAGAGGAGTATTATTTGGGCCATGGATAAACCTTAATTGAGGCCCATTTTGTGTGGAGCTTATCAAGCTAGGAGAAATTAATTGGGAAATTTTTATATATACTTACTGATTTGTTATTATTTGCAACATTACTTTCCAA